CATCCTAAAGACTATCTTTACTTCAATTTTTTTTGTATTTATTTACTAGCAAGAAAGCTCGTAGGCCTACTCTTGTGTTCCAAAGTCGACACAATGATCTACGTCTTATTATTAGGCTATGACATCCCCTGCCTTTAACTGGATTCATAATAAACCTACCAGGTCTTAAGAACATAAGAACAAAGGTAACTGCAGAAGGCCTATTGGCCCATACGAGGCAGCTCCTATTTATAACCACCCAATCCCACTCATATACATGTCCAACCCGCGCTTGAAACAATCGAGGGACCCCCACCTCCACCACGTTACGCGGTAATTGGTTCCACAAATCAACAACCCTGTTACTGTCTTACTCCCAATAAGTGTCTTTTTAAGTGTGCACTTTTGGAACTTGACCTAAAAGTATGATCTATGTCTTGATCATATCTCATTTACGTTGCTATACTTCAGCAGTGATACCACACTTTCCACGTAAGTAGTAGTCCAGCCTATCCTCTTCTTGTCTCGAGGCAAAATTTGCAGTTTTGATTAGCTAAATGTTTAAATTAGTAATATCACGCCGCTGCTGCCATCTGTGTAAATCGTTATATTATTAATAGTATTATTATTATTTTTATTAGCAGGTGGGTTATCATGTCTCCCCTTACTCTTCTGTCTTCCAGGGACGTAAGGTTAAGCTCCCGTAGCCTTTCCTCGTATCTCATACCTCTTAGTTCTGGGACTAGTCAGGTGGCATCTCTGAATCTTCTCTAACATTGTCTTGTGTTTAATTAGATACGGACTCTAGGCTGGAGCTGCATACTCCAGGATTGGTTTGACTTAAGTGGTATACAAGGTTCTGAATGATTTTGTGTGTGTGTGCATGTGTATGTATGCGCACGTGTGTGTATGTGCACATGTGTTTGCAACAAATTTGTATCGTATTCTGTATAATAAACAAAACATTTATAAAACGACAGGTGACTTAAGCAGTTTACTGCCAATAAAAAGGCAGAGCAAGTCAGTCCAACCTACATCCGAGCAGTTCACTCGAGGACTCATTCGGTCTCTCATTGTTGACCCTTGACCTTTGCTAGTTATGTTACCTCGTCATGACGAATGCCATGATGGGTCTTGGCATCTGGGAGGGCAGGAGAGTAGGAGAGATTGTAACCATTTTAAATAAGGATTATTCCTAATGGAAAAAGATAATAATGTCATTAGGCAGATCAGTTTCTAGGAACGGGCTTCAGATGAGTTGATGTAGAATAACAGCTCTTAGCTTGCAGTTTCATAAGGAACATCCGTATCATTCGTAATGATACGGATGATCATTCGTAATGATTATATCATTAGTAATGATTATATCATTAGTAATGATTATAGCTAAGAGAGGTCAAGGGGTAACAAAACAAAAAAGTGGGGCCCTAAGGTGTGTATGGGAGTGCTGCTATAAAAATTGTATATGGTTTCCCCGTTGTTGGGAATAGGAAGTCTGTTAGGCTTGTCGCGGCCCTTCTGTTCAAGGACGAGGCTTCTTGCCTGGTAACCCCATCAGTTATTAGCCAGACTCAAAGGTATTTAACCGATTAAGTGATGCGCACATCATCCATTACGCCATGTGGTTTGTCTAAATGTACATTTGCCAATGTTACCCCCAAGTTTCACAAGGTACCTGTAAACAAAGCTTGCATCACCATTCTTACGCATATCATACACTCCCAGCAGATTCGACCCATTGTCCATACTGCTACTGGTTGATACCTGGTTGATGTGGTTCTGGGAGTTGTTCTACTCCCCAAGCTCGGCCCAAGGCCAGGCTTGACTTGTGAGAGTTTAGTCCACTAGGCAGTTGCTTGGAGCGGCCCGCAGGCCCGGTTGGTCCGGCACTCCTTGGAGGAATAAATCTAGTTTCCTCTTGAAGATGTCCACGCTACTGTCCCCAAAACCAGAGGGCTATGGTAATTGTTTTCAAGTACAGTATAGTAGTAATAAAAACAGAAAAAAATAGTATTAGATGGTATGATTTTGTGCATATTTAGGCCTAGGCCCATATTGTCAGGTGGTGTGCTCCACTGGCATATTATTTGCGGTATATTTCGAGTAGCTACGGTGGTGAAACGTTGTGAAAAGTTGGCTTCGAACAGGCTACAAGATCTTGTTGAAGTTCACGGTGTACTGCTGCTCTCAGATTGCTCATTGACAGGCTAAACGTGAGTGAGGCACATCACTTCGGAGGTTGTTTTCTCAAGGTATCAGCTAGGAATACATACTTCACTATTTGGAGTGTTTACAGGTTAAAATTAAAACTATTCTAGGCCTAAAATCGTGTAGTCCATATGAACCAAGGCTTCGAACTTAACCTGGAGTTTTACGATGCTCTTACAGAATCATGGGATATACCCATTTATTTCAGGGGATCGATTTCTCACCCAGTTGTGCTTGCGAGGGTTGAGCTTCGGCTCTTTGGCCCCGTCTCTCAATAGTCAAACAACTGGTGTATGATTGACTATTGCCCTGAGCCTATTTGCCACTATCATATTTAGATTTCAAACTGTGTATGGAGTCAGCCTCCACCACATCACTGTCTAATGCATTCCATTTAACTACCCTGACACTTAAAAAAAAAAATCTTTCTAAAATCTCTGAGACTTTTGTAGATGGTGATCATGTCTCCCCTTACTCTTCTGTCTTCCAGAGACGTGAGGTTTAGTTCCCGTGTCTTTTTTCGTAACTCGTACCTCTCAGTTCTGGGACTAATCTGGTGGAAAACCAACCCATTTAACTTTGTCTTGTGTTTAACTAGGTATAGACTCCAAACTGGAGCTGCATACTCCAGGATTGGTCTGACTTAAGTGGTATACAAGGATCTGAATGATTCCTTACATAAGTTTCTAAAGGCAGTTCATATGCTGGCCAATCTAGCATATGCCGCTGATGCTATCCTTTTGATGTGGCCTTCTGGGGACAGGTTTGGTGTAATATTAACTATCAGATCTTTCTCTCTACTTGACTCTTGCAGGATTTCACCTTTTCACCTGAGATTCACACAAATGTTCTCTAATTGTGATTATGGCACCCCAACTTTTCATCGAATTAATGTAACACTTTATACCATACCTCTCAATACAGTATGTTGTAACCTATGTATTGTCCATGTGTGTATCATGGAACACACACAAATCATAATAAAGTGATGCATCAAATGAACAAACGGCAGCGTCTGGGATGCTCTTGGACGCAGGTTCGAATCCTCGTCACGGCCCTTGTGGATTTGTTTATATTATGGAATCTTTTGTCTCCGTTTCAACAGGTACCAACTGAGTATTATGAGGCGACCCCAGTAGTGCTCAATGCGGGCAGTGAAGGTTCGCTGTATATATTCTACCTTGGATATCTCGCCTGCCTTGAAGAGAGACGTGACCATTGAACAATATTCCATACAAGATAGCACCAGTGGACTCTTACCTTCGAAAAATCAACACAAAATCCTACTTTTCACAAGCATTTCCTACCTCCGCAACTCCTTCCAAGGTCAATCTTTTGTTGTGGCTGGATTAGGCTAATTAGACTAGATTTGTACAGCCAAAAATGCTGTAGGCTATGTATGCTCATGACAGCATTGTTGGTCGCATGTATTCTGAAGAAATCTAACTAGTTTCAATAATTTCTGTTCGTTTAGCATGTCTTATAACTCATAAAAGCCTACTCGCGATTACTTCTCTTGTTCTACACATGTGGTACGTTATGGGCAGACGACCTACAACGTCTCTTTATTGCTTCAATAAAGAGAATAAAGAGAGGTGCCAAATGGTTCCAAACTGATTTGGAACCAGTTCGAATCTTGCTAACGTGTAAACAACAACGCTTTTATCTGAATATTAGTTTCATCTAAATACGTGTTTCTCATAGCCTGTGTATCGAACGAAAATACTGTAGTTTTTCTGAGCTAATCACGAGAGTTGAATAACTGAAAACAAGAGCTATCGGGGATCGAACCTCGACTCTGCAAGAAGTGAGGCCGTAGCTTGCAATCTTCGGCCTGTATAACTTGCAGTTGCTTACAAAACTTATTTATTACAAGCCCACTAAAAATATGTATTCACTTGTATAATAAAATTTCCAATGAAAAGTTGTATGACAAATGATAACAAAGTTTGCTCATTTCTTTCTTGCTATTAGCCAGTTGACCCGAAGTTGATATCAGTGGTAATCTTCTCTAAAAAGTTCCTGTAGAAATTACTTACCTTCTTCAATTTCACAATATGTCTTGATTTTATTCCTTCATTATATTTCTCAGTCATTTATGAACAAATCACAAGACAAGTTGCTTAATGAGTTGTGTAAATTCACGTCATATAATCCTTTCACCCGTAAACTTCAATACGTTCAACTGTTGACAAATTTTCATAAGACGGTTTAATCCGTTAACATTTACCGGTAGTGAGAACGTAACGACCTAAAACATGTCTTTACCTCACACAATCACCTTCAACCGGGTAATTAAGACTTATCGCTTAGTTTTGAACATCTTGCACGTCGTAACATAGATCAATTAACCCGCAGTTGTATAATAATGGCAACAAATGGGAGTGGTAATGGTGAATGGAAGGGAACTATCAGGGAGGAAAGTGCCAAGTCATTACGACTATATAGCACTGGGAAGGGGTCAGGATAAGGGTTTGGGATGGGTCGGGTAATGGTGAATGGAAGGGAACTATCAGGGAGGAAAGAGCCAAGTCATTACGACTATATAGCACTGGGAAGGGGTCAGGATAAGGGTTTGGGATGGGACGGGTAATGGTGAATGGAAGGGAACTATCAGGGAGGAAAGTGCCAAGTCATTACGACTATATAGCACTGGGAAGGGGTCAGGATAAGGGTTTGGGATGGGACGGGTAATGGTGAATGGAAGGGAACTATCAGGGAGGAAAGTGCCAAGTCATTACGACTATATAGCACTGGGAAGGGGTCAGGATAAGGGTTTGGGATGGGACGGGTAATGGTGAAGATGAAGACAAGGGTGAAGACGGGCATTAACTCACCAAGGGTCCCTTCTTCGTGACTCCTTCTCCCCCTCCCTTGCGCAGCCTGAGCCTGAAGGTGGTGGTGTCCATCCTGCTCTGTCTGCCGCCGTCACTCCTCCTGACGGTGGCGGGGGAGGCGGCGGCCACGCCACAGTGGCCCCTGCCACTCCCTACCCCGACACTCCCTACCCCGTCACTGCTGGCATCCTTGGCTGTAACACCCGAGGTAAGCGTGTTATTATCATTATACGCACTGCTACCCTGGCCTGAACTACCGCTCGCCTGACCATTTCTCCCGCTGGTCTGATCACTGGCACTGGCACCGCTAGACGGGCTGACACTTTTGGCACTGTTAGCAGTTGTTGTAGTGCAAGGGGGCGCGCTGGGCCTGCCTCCGTTACACGGTCCTGGGGCCAGGGGGTCGCGCGCCGCCACCACACTACCATCACGTTTCGCGCCGTATGCACTGTTATCTCCTACATTACCGGTCTCTACACACGGAGACCGTGAAGTAGCGTGAGTCTGCACTGAGAAGCTATTGGCCAGCCGCGAGGTTGCGGCGTGGGCCGACATAACGTGACATAGGGACCCTCTCTCTCTGGCGGCTCTCACCCAACTGAGGTCCAGGGTTCGGGCCCCTCACGCCGCGCCACGCTGCCACTCTTACCACTTCACCCACCATCTCTACTCTAAACTCTACCACCACTTCCCTCCTACACTCTACCCTCCGACGCTAATCCCCCAGCACACTTATTTAGAGGTTGTGGAGGTGAGGTGTAGGCCTAGGGAGAGGTGGGGGAGCGGGCGGGGGCGAGGGTGGGGGTGTTGCTGCCATACGGCCGACAACGGAACTCATCCTGGTGGTGGATGGCGGGCCCCCTCACACCGTTGCCACGTTTCTACTACAAAACGCACCATTTATCCCCCCCCCCCCCCCGGGGCAACATGGCACTGTGCCAGCGGGTAATCACAAATTATTACGGCGGGATCATCGCCTGAGGGCACTCTACCGGCGGCTTATATGTCTCTCTCCCTCTGTAGCGTGCTCTGGACCACTCAAGGGGCCTCTTTGTTTGGCTGTGTAGTGCCCATCACGTGCTGCTGACAAGCGTTGTATCACGTGGGGGGGAGAGGAGAGGTTTGGGAATGTCTGCAATCTATCTCTGCTTGCATGCCGGTTGCATGCTTACGCCACCCCATCATTTGATGAGAAACTGCGTCAAAACACAAATCTATCATAAACGTGAAACAAGAGAATTTATTCCCAATATTGTGTATGGATATTATTCGTTATCGTAAATAAAGTTTTTATTTTCGTATTGTCCAAACTGTAAAAAATACAACAGTTAGAACCTGTGTCTCTAGATTTATTTATTTATTTATTTATATACAAGAAGGGTTAACAGAGAACATAGAATATGATTTAGTTATTAACATTAAAGGCTAACTATATTGTTCGGGGTACATTATGCTTACACCACTTATTATGTTTCACTTAATTAGCGCAAATTAAATAAGCGCATCCAGCAGTAAGTTACCATACATAAAAGAAGCCACTGAAGACTACATCTAAATGCTTACACCGAAATACAGTAAGATCCCTGGCCTCGCAAATTCGAATCCTGGATCATAGAGTTCATTGTGATTTACAATTTTGGGACCATGCAAGCTTCGTTTCATATACAGTATATATTATATATATATATATATATATATATATATATATATATATATATATATATATATATATATATATATATATATATGTCGTACCTAGTAGCCAGAACTCACTTCTCAGCCTACTATGCAAGGCCCGATTTGCCTAATAAGCCAAGTTTTCATGAATTAATTGTTTTTCGACTACCTAACCTACCTAACCTAACCTAACCTAACTTTTTCGGCTACCTAACCAAACCTAACCTATAAAGATAGGTTAGGTTAGGTTAGGTAGGGTTGGTTAGGTTCGGTCATATATCTACGTTAATTTTAACTCCAATAAAAAAAAGTGACCTCATACATAATGAAATGGGTAGCTTTATCATTTCATAAGAAAAAAATTAGAAAAAATATATTAATTCAGGAAAACTTGGCTTATTAGGCAAATCGGGCCTTGAATAGTAGGCCAAAAAGTGAGTTCTGGCTACTAGGTACGACATATATATATATATATATATATACATATATAGGGTACCCCACCTCTGGTACAATTGTAGGGACCTATAGTCTCATTCTCACCGAACACTTTAATAGTCATACATGGAATCAGGAGAGAACGTGAAATATAAGGCTGATCTATTAGGCTACACTAGCAAAATCCAGGTACAGCACAAAAATATCATCCAGTATTCCTAAGTGTATGAAGTAATTACAAAGCTCAAAGTACCTCATACCATTTGGTCTGAAGTCACAGATAACAGGGCAATCACAGATATAGTGTTGGAGGGTATGTCCCAGCCTTGTTCACATAGTTTACAATTAGAATGTTCACCACTGGATCTCTCTGTCTCTGTATCTCTCTTATAAAAATAATATGTTTTCCATTGGCATGTGCTCATAGGCTCGTAGGCTCCTCTCACCAGTCTGCCGGTGAGAGGAGCCTAGCAGTGTGAAATATCCAAAAATTACTTTTCCTTTGGCTTTGAGAAAGAGGCGAGGCTTGAGAAAGTCTTAGAAGCTGTGGGAGGACCACCTGTTTTATGCTACTCTGTGTAAAGTATGGTGATTAAATTACTTGTTAATTTTCCAGAGATTAGTGCAGAATTTCTCAAATTATTATAAGAAAAACACTTGTCTTGTATGTGACCACGACACGCTGTTACCTCTTGAATTATGGTGAACCTGACCAACCTATGCCCGTCCCGTACCACAGACCACTTCCCCTGCAAAGTTGGGTGCGGTTATCCTGACCCCAAACGTCTGGCCTCCAATCTCAGACAGACAGACATTCTCTCTTATATTTATAGATTAGTTAACATTTAACGTTAAATATCTGAAGATTTTACATTATCAAAAAGTCCCTTAGTACTACTGTAAACAGACATGATATTCAGGCTGAGAACACCATGTTGTTGACGATATCCACAATATAAACTCTAATCTGGTCAATATAAACTACAAATCTGGTCTACAAAAATACAAACTCTAATCAGGTCAATATGAACTCTAATCTGGCTGATTTCCCCCCCATTGTCCATTGGTGATGGACTTCAGGCCAATCAATCTCTGAAATTCTATAAAGGCCAACACTAGAGCTCACTGACCCACCAACAAGTATACTTTCATCCACTCAACTCTGAGTATACACACCGAGAGACGGTTTACACTTCGATTTATATCCCATATTCTGAATATATATACAATTCAAATCATGTTCCATGTAATAATAATATAGCTATATATTTTACTTGTACAAATATTACATAGGTTCTGATTGTCATGTTTACATAACAGGTGTTTATATTTGTTATAAAGTCACTAATGAGGCGCAGGGAAGGATGAGTGATCGCTGGTGTAGTCATGGCCTTCAATAAGGTAGACAGAATGCAGCTGCTGATGGATGACCTTACTATATAATAGCCGTCGTCTGGTTATGTACGAGGTTGAGCCAGGGAAAGAACCTTGAGAACACTGAGAATGTCTTAAGCGTAAGGTCACTAATATCTCTACGGGATTGAAGGATTTTATAAAAAGCCAAGTTCACTTACGTAAAATTATTCAAGGCCAAAGATGAGACGCCACGGTCGATCGCTAAGCTGTCCACAAGCCGAAGACACGAACTGAAGGAGAGTGTTACATGCTCGGTATCTTTGCAAATCTATGCATTTTATAGAGCTGTGTAGCGGGCGGAAGTTTATGCAGACGGCTGTCCACTGTCATCGTAGAGTAGAACACCACTCTGAGAAAGTCTACCTCATTACTCATGACCAAGGTTATTGTGTTCATTCTCACATCAGTTCCGGTGTTACATCATGTCCCCCCCCCCCAACAGATCATCTTCGTTTGTTTTACCTGCAGAAAATGTAAAGTCTTGTGTCCGAGGCTGATATATGGTTACAAGGTATTGAAACAATCTCTGGGGCAGCTGGCATCTCCTATCTTGTAAAAAATAGAATCTAGAGTGCAGCCATTTAACTGTGTTAGAAAATTGTTGAATTGAACATTCCCTCTTACCACACTGACGCCAAATAACTCGCCTTCGGACCGTTTAATTTAAAACTTCTCTGAGAGCAGTCTTGAGGATAATTATAGAGGTACACAGCTGCGCCACATAAATGAGTACATGTAGTTGTGGAGGACAACCACGTTACTGACCACCAGTCGTTGAGTGACTGTTGCCATACACTAGAGAGGTCCACAGAAGCCAGGTTGCAGGATGGTGCTGCAACATGATAGCATACAATAGCATATTGTATGCTATCAATAGCATATTGTAGCATATTGTATGATAGCATACGGATAGCAACATGTGCTGTTGCCTCCTGGGAAATAATATTCTCCGTAGTCTTTGGCCCTCCTATCTTGTGCCCAACTACTTGAGCTGGACGGTAGAGCGACGGTCTCGCTTCATGCAGATCGACGTTCAATCCCCGATCGTCCAAGTGGTTGGGGCACCATTCCTTCCCACCGTCCCATCCCAAATCCTTATCCTGACCCCTTCCAAGGGCTATATAGTCGTAATGGCTTGACGCTCTCCCCCACATTCAGCACCGCTCCTGTGCCAGGTAAGTTACGGGCTCACCATAGCCCGTGCTACTTAGAACTTGTTCCAAGTAGCTGAATCTATAACAACAACAACAACGCTTTCCCGCACACTGCACCGCTCCTGTGCCAGGTAAGTCCACTACGGGCTCACCATAGCCCGTGCTACTTGGAACTTGTTCCGATTAGCTGAATCTATAACAACAACAACTTGACGCTTTCCCCTGATAATCCCCATTATTATCTTGTGGAATGAAACTACGGAAGCTTTACTTCACATGCCACAGAAATGAACCTTTACCTCCTGACATGAATCAAAGTAATGTCAACTGGTTCGCACATCCTTTCTGCAGCCTAAGACTGATATTTTCACGCCCCTCCGTCTTTCCTGCCAGAGTATTTAAGGGATTGATGCTATTTTTTTTATCACCATCATCTTGGACAGTGAGTTATGTAAGTAATATTTCCAAATTTACAACTTGAATATTGACTCAAACCCGCAGGCCAACTGCGGGTCCTGTCCGCCATACCTTCCTTGAGGTTACCTTGAGGTGATTCCGGGGCTCAGCGATCCCACGGCCCGGTCGTCGATCAGGCCTCTTCGTTGCTGAACTGATCAACCAGGCTGCTCGCAGCCTGACGTATGAGTCACAGCCTGGTTAATCAGGTATCCTTTGGAGATGTTTGTCAAGTTCTCTCTTGAACACTGTGAGGGGTCGGCCAGTTATGCCCCTTATGTGTAGTGGAAGCGTGTTGAACAGTCTCGGGCCGTGTCCAACTATTGCTTATTAGAACACGTCCATCTTGTCGACTTAATGATGGAATTGGGTCCCCCGTTGAGCATCCTTGTCGGTCTTTAACCCGAACCACAAGTCTGACGCCCACTCTTCCGGATGCTAGTTTGCTTAATGCGCTAGTTTACCACATGGGAGATGGCAGCGCGGTTTACTTCCCTTTGTACTTACTTAGTTGTACTTGCGGGGGTTGAGCTCTGGCTCTTTGGTCTCGCCTCTCAACGGTGTACAAGTTCCTGAGCCTACTGGGCTCTATCATATCTACACCTGAAGCTGCGTATGGAGTCAGCCTCCACCACATCACTGCCTAAT